TCTCTCTCTCTCTCTCTCTCTCTCTCTCTCTCTCTCTCTCTCTCTCTCTCTCTCTCTCTCTCTCTCTCTCTCTCTCTCTCTCTCTCCCACTCTCTGGTCTTGTAGCACTCAACCTCACAGTCTCTCTCTCACTCCTTGGATCGTGCCCTGGATACAACCGCTCAGGTCAGACTCCAACCTTGGTGGCATGGACGCCCTGCTTCCCTATCACTACCGTAGCTATGGCTGTTGTCGACACTTCCTTCTTCTTCGAGTGTTGTCTTGCCCAAGTCGCTTGGTCACACAAGCAGCAGCAGCGCTTCCGCAACTTCATGAATGAACAACTGTGCCCGCTGCTGCACTGTAGCAGCTAAATATAGGAATTGGACTTGGCCTGTCCTGCCTCAGACTGATACCGGTCAGCCGCGGCCTCTGTTGCAATCGTCTTGTCGGTCCAGAAGCTTCCCGGACTTCTCTCGGACTTGCTGCAATTTTTGCGGACTTGGGGACTGGACTTGACTTTCCGGACCCTTCTGTGGTATACCGCTGCCATACCGGACTAGCTATACAGCGACTCATCCTTGCAGACTTTTTCTGTTGGGTACCGGACAGGGTGTACCACAACTTGACTTTTCCGGATGTTTCCTGACTTAGACCTACGGCGCTTCAACTGGCCTAGCGGACCTACCCCTCTTGATGCTGGGACTTGGGACTTTGGAACCTTCTGGACTTTGGGGGTTTGGGTGCCGCCTTTCAGGGGTACGCAGCATGAAATCCTTTCATTACTGTCCCCTGGAGGGGAACAGTGATGAGCGGGCTAGGGGTGATGGTCTTCAAGTAGGCTGGGACCAGCAGCGAGACTCGATATACATCCTGTCATACACATTCAATGGTGATGATCCCTGTGTATTCTGGGCAGGCCTCCTCTAATTGTCCTCCACGCTAAGAGGATATGGACGGGGCGGCTTGCCCGTGTTGCACTCCCTGCCCCTGAATGAGAAACCCTCTTTTGGGCCCCTAAATTGGAAATAGTTTGGACCCTCGATGTTGACCTGTAGAAATAGAAACCCGCCCTCTCTGGATTTTGAAACCCCCAGAATTGTGAATTGAGAAAATCCTCGGAACCGGGTCCCAGAATTCTCCAAATCCGTCAAACCACAACTAAATGGAGCCGACGGAATTTGCATTATCCGCCTGCGTCCCTCCACATTGGCCTTGTTGTATGTTCAGTATTGGAAGCTGTTTTGAGCCTCTCCGAAAGTTTAGGAGGCCCAGCACCGTATATAAAATGAATCGTTGACGGGCAGCCTCCGAAAGGGGCGCGCGGCCAATAGCTGGCATGTGGTGGTGGTGGTTTAAGAACAGGTTTGGACACCCCTACCCTGAGCCAGTTGTGGAACCTGCAGGGTTGATGAGGCACGCCGCCCCAAGCCAATTGCTGAACCTGCAGGTTTTGACCGGGCAGGCCCAAAGATACAGTGGTACTCCAAGAGCATGGTTACACCATATCTGTTTGGATGGTGGAATATTGATCTTCTGGACAGATTCCAGACGTCCGGGTCGGGAACCGGGTGTCTGGTAGCGATATATCGTTGTTCCTTTTTTTTCCTTGTACATATTTCCACCAAGTCTTATTAAAATCATGTCAGCCGGACATGTGTCTAGTATGCGAGGTCTGAGAGGTGGATACCAGACTGTACCAGTAATTGGAAAACGTTTTGAAGTTTGAACCCCTTGGATACCAGACTGTGCCGATGATTGGAATCCGTTTTGAAGTTTGAACCCCTTGGATACCAGACTGTGCCGATAATTGGAAAACGTTTTGAAGTTTGAACCCCTTGGATACCAGATTGTGCTGATA